GGAATGCTGAAACTCTGTACTTGGAATCATGGCCTGGATCTCACAGATCTGTTTCACTAGATGCTGAAGGAAAAGGCCATGATTGGCAGAATGGGTCTGTGGGATCCTGCCCCTCCCCCACTGCTTCCTCAAAAGATTACTAGGGATTGTTTGATTAGGACATTAATAGAGAACAAAGCACCCTTTAAAGACAGTGTCATTACCCATCTTCCCTTGCAAAACAATAATGCAGGGAAATCCTGGGGGTATCTGAGGGCATCTAATACCACAGTTTGCAGGGAGCTAACTGCAGGGCCAAGGGGCATATGTAATCCCGTCCCCAACTGCACCTATCTTGGAATGCGCTCCAGTATTCCCAGCAGCACAGATGGGTTCCTTGATATTTAAATCAATGTGGGAAGGTTTCCTGAAGATCCAATATTGGAATCAACTACAGCATAAAATGTGAATCAAAGTACAATATGGACAGCAGACAAAACCAACTACCTACTGCATAAAACAATATGCTATCTTCTTCCATGCAGGGGCACGTTCAGGGTATATGAGAGATCTGCATCTTAATCCTAAACTAATTTAAGCAATGAAATGAGTGATATTTCTGCATCGAACCACGATTTGAACATGGCAAGCCACAGAGACTTAGGTCTGCCTTGAATCTGCTCATGCCAGTGTGGCTTTATCACCTTCCTGGTTCTTTCATCCTCGCTTAAGCAGCAGCACGTTCAGGTCAGAGAAAGGTGTGGCTTTCTTGCAACCAGAGTTCAAGGGCTTCCTTGAGCCATGGGAGAGAGCTAGGCTTCCCTAGGCTTTAAATACCAGCCTTGGGAGCTTTCGAACCTCCCCTGCCAGAATTGAAAAATAAGAGATCAGGAGAAAATTCAAGGTGTTTTGGAAATATAATTGTGCCCTCAGAGTTTCTCTGTGCAATAGAAGACCAATCCAGCAAATAAAACACTTAGCAGTTTCCCCCCATTTACCTGGTGATGTTAGCACCAGCCACAGAAAAGAGCCTGCTTTGGAGAGCGCACTCCTGAACACAGAACCAGAGGCATTCTGATCCAAGGAACTATGACCTACAAGAAACAGAACTGTTAGCCAGGAGAAGAGGACATCCTCTCCCCACCCTCATCTTTGGTGTGGAATATAAGGAAAAAGCAGGACGGAGCCTTGCCCAAGAAGGCAGAGGGGATAGCTAGGAGACTTAGGGGCTGACTGTGCCTAGGCTGGGTCTTCTGAATACTTTGGCTAGCCCAGTAGGGGGCAGCACTAATCTATTCCATCCTAAACAGGCTTTACACACACCCTTGTTGAACCAATCAAGGGTCAAACTAGATGAAATTTTAGAGAAGAATTTGACCATTTAAAAATGCTGTGAGGATTGGGTTCATGGTGTTCCCCTCCTGTCACTTTTTCAACTGCCAAAACTAGTCCCCCAACAGGTCTTCAGAGAACTTGAAAAGGTGGGGGGGGCGGGGGATGACAACCAGATCTCAGGATTTTGAAATAGTCATCCTGCTAGCTGGTCAGGCTGTTTCAATCCAAAGCAGCAAAAACCCCAGAGGAGTATATGAAGAGGGGGAAATATTGGCTAGTGCTGGTAACAACAATACACACACACACATGCACGTGTCTTCTTCAGATCAGTTTTGAAATTATTTTATTTGGCAAGTGAAGGATGAACACATATGCATCTGTTACCCAACTTTTTTTCACAACAGGGCAGACTCACAGTGGCTGCGTTCAGGGAGACAGCGTTTCTGTACCTGCATAGTCATCCTCAGAGGAGTAGCCTGACGAAGAAGCATAGGTGTCATAGGTCTTCCTTTCCGCCAGCCCGTTGATTTTACTGGACTCTGTACTTCCAGTGCCTCTTCTTCTTCTAGCTAAAGATTCCTCGTCTATCCAGGAAACATGAACTCTCTTTAGGGAGAAACTAGGCAATTCTTGTTCATCTCTGTCTCCACAGTAAGTGCAACGGAATTCCAAAGGCCCCAGGCTTGCTCAAGCACACTTCCCACGTTAAAGTCGTTCAGAAATTGTACATCCCACTTCCTCTCCAACAGGCTTCCCAGTTTGTAACTTTCTCCATAGCTTTCAAGTATGCAACCCAAAACTGCATTTAAAAACCCTCAATATTTTTGTTCAAGCTTATGGATCCAAGCAATCTACCAGCTGGTATTCCTTGCATGTGATTCTGTGGCCTTGTCACAGATTCTCAAAACACAGCCTCACCTGGTATTTCACCACTCCACCGTTCAGCCTTTTAAATGCAATCTCAACATATTGAATCATAGAATCACAGAGTTGGAAGGGACCTCATCTAGTCCAACCCCCCGCACAATGCAGGAAATTCCCAAAACCCCCCCCCCCCCCCCACATCCCTAGTGACCCGTTCCATGCCCAGAAGATGGCAAAAAAAAACCCCTCCAGGATCGCTGGCCAAACTGGCCTGGAGAACAATTGATGCCTGATCCCAAAGTGGCAATCGGCATCTCCCTGGGCGTGTAAGAAAGGGCCACAAGAACTAAGCATTCATGCAACCCTTCCTGCCCTCCCTCTCATGAACTGCCTAAATTCACACGATCAGCATTGCTGTCAGATGGCCACCTAGCCTCTGTTTGAAAACCTCCAAAGAAGGAGAGCCCACCACCTCCCAAGAAAGCCTGTTCCACTGAGGAACTGCTCTGTCAGGATGTTCTTCCTAATGTTTAGCCAAAACCTCTTTTCATTTAATTTCAACCTGTTGGTTCTGGTCTGACATAGCTGCCTGCTTGCAAACTGGAGCATCTGAGAGCATCGCCACCCAGACACTGCTTGAAAGTGTTTTTACATTCTAAATGTTTAGGACATTTGTGACTGAGCACCCAACCGCACGGGGTTTTGGAAAAGAAGAAAATATAACTGCCATCTTTATCACCAAAGGGAATAATCACAATGACTGTGCTTACACTGTCAAGCTACAGACCAGGTATGTACTGCTGCAATAGAGAGGACATTATCATACAGGTTGTGGATCAGCTTTGCAAGAATTGTAGAATAAATAAAATACAACTCGGGGGGGGGGGGGGGGCGGCACCAACTGTGCAGGACTTCTGTGCAAATTGTGCTGAAGAGAGAGGAATACTCACTCCAGTAAGAACTGCTGTTCAGTGGCTCATCCAAGGCAGCACTGACCCGGGCAGAACGCCCCCTGCCGTCACTCAGGTAGGACTCGCTAACCACGGACTCACTGTAGTAGGTGGTATGCCCAGCAGTGTTGGATCCCAGGCTTGGGGCCGGAGAGGGACGCTTTATGCTGTTTGACTTCTTCCGTATGCTCCGGCTGCAGGAGTGGAAACTGTAATGAGTTCACATGCTGGCACGATAGTGGGACGCAGGAGAAGAAAGGAAAACAGGGAAGGGGAAAGGCAGAGCATGCTTCTTCCCGGGGCCGTCCACATAAAGTTGTGCTAACTGATAACAAACCTCTTGTCACTGGATAGCGACTTCCTTGTGAAGAAAGAGGGGAGTGAAGCATCTCTTAGGTTGTGATGCACTAGACAACATACCAGTGGCCTACAGTGTCCGTAAGCACAGATCCAGGTGGGGGAGGGGAGCACAATGATTAGATGAATGGACTTGGACCAAGGAAGCCCAGGTTCAAATCCCAGCTCCACCAGGACACGTATTGGAGACCCCGAGCTGCTTGCTATTTTTCAGACTAGCATCACAAGATAGTCATGAAGATAAAATCAAGTGTGGTGGAGGGACACTCAGAAAACGTGCGCTGCAGTCTGAGCCAAATGATGAGCTAATGAGAAAGAAGAAGGGTGGGATAATAGTGAAATGGCACTTATCGATTACACTTCTGTTCTGCAGTTCCTTTCGCAAGTGTGAGGCTGTGCACCTGGGTGACCTTATTTTACCTTCACCTTCTGAGATCAGGTGGGTTGGTAGAGAACCTAGGATCCAGCGCACCCGATTCTCAAATGATGGGGTAAGGCATGTTTGATGTCTTGGGCAAGGAAAGGGCCCTCTCCCATTTCCTTCCCTGGGAGAGCTTTGTTCTAGCAGAGTCTTCGTGCTGAAGCTTTTATTATGGCCCCCTTTCCATACCGGAGCGGCCCGAATAGCCCAGCTTGGCCTGAGCTAGAGAGGCTTGAGCGCTAAGAAGGGTTCAGCCACGGTCAGTACTTGGATGGGAGACCTCCAAGGAAGACCCGGGGTTGCCATGCAGAGGGAGGCAACGGCAAACCGCCTCTGTTCATCTCTAGCCTTGAACACCCCACGGCCGGGGCTGCCATGAGGCAGCTGGGACTCGACATGCTGGTGTTGGAAGTGGTGCTCCGGTCCACAAACCCCATAGGCAACCGTGGGCTGCACCATAAGCAACTGTGCATGAGTTTACCCACAGAACAGATGGTTTGTGCCAGGGGGAAGAGAAAAGGCAGAGTGGGCTTACATGGTCTCCCAAGTGTTAAAAGTTCCAGAAACACTGAGCTAGCCACAGCGGCTCACATTTGCTGCGGTGGCGATGGGCTTCCTGTCTCACTGCTACATTTCTTGATTAGATAACGGCTGCTCAGGCAACTGCAAAGCCCAGTGTAGGGACAGGGATTTCCATCTCAGAAACAAGCCAGAACTGCTTTTTTGCTCAGAGTGTGGAGCAACGTTGTGGGTGATCCAAAGGCAAACCTTTTGACCCTGCGGAGATTCAAGCTCAGAATGGGTGATGTGTTTTAAAAAAGCACAAGCAGCTATTTCTGCCTAGCACTGCAACCTTTGCAAAAAAACCCAGAAACATCACAGGCAGGTGGCAACATCTTTCAGCTGCCTACGCAAGCAGAGGAGATGCGCTTGAGCACAGAGAACACGTTGCCCATGGTTTCGCCCATACGGCTTCCTTCCTGCTTCCTCTGCAGCAGCTGTGGGTTTCCAGGACAGTGGCAGCATCTAGCAGCTGCTCACAGTGAAGCAGAAAATGAAGAAATTTATTTCCTCCAAAGATTAAGCCCATTGCTAACAGGGTTGCCCAAAACAAGAACACACATCCTGGCTGGCATTTTCCCCTTCTGGGCAAAGTCAAGGACAAAGGCATGTTTTTCCTCTCAGCTGCCTTTTATTTTCTTTTTTAAAGGTGTACATTTCAAGTGAATCTTTGCACTGGGCTCCATTCCACGTTGTTGGGCACTGCTCCAGAGCCACCAAGAACTGTTGGGATCCAAAGCCAGACACTCCCCAAATTGCTGGGTCCCACCTCAGCTCTGTCCCCAGACTGACGTGCTCTGCCCTGATTCCAAGAGAGCACCGCTCTGAAGGTCCACCCAGGTGCTAGAACTTTTCATTTCAAGAGGTGGCACCTCTAACGTCAACCAGGCCTGCATCCACACATGTAGACAGTCTGCTATTGATGCTACAGCAGTCACTCAGAACTGAATTTCCCTGTGTGGACAAGACAATCCAGTGCAACATCCACAGGTGCAGATGAAGAGAAGGCCATTGTTCTCTGCAGCCCCGACTAAACTGCTGTGCTCCCTTAAGAGAGCCAGTTTGGTGTAGTGGTTAGGAGCGCAGACTCTAATCTGGGAGAACCGGGTTTGATTCCCCACTCCCCCACCTGCACCTGCTGGATGACCTTGGGCAAGCCATAGTTCTGGCACAGCTGTTCTTGAAAAAGAGCAGTTTCTGTCAGAGCTCTCTCAGCCCCGCCTACCTCACAGGGTGTCTGTTGTGGGGAGGGGAAGGGAAAGGAGTTTCTAAGCTGCTCTGAGACACCTTTGGGTAGTGAAGGGCGGGGTATAAATCCAATTTCTTCTTCTTCTTAATGAAGTGCTTCTGTTGCAAGGAAATGGCACTCTTTTACTGCTGCTGTATTTTGTTGCTGAGAAAATGCTCTTCCTTTTCCTCAGCAACCATACCCCCTGCTATCTAGAGTGCTGTACACAATACAAGTGATATCAGCAACCAATACAAGGGGTAAAGGTTGCAATCCTAAAAGTGCTTCCTGGGAATAAGCCTCATTTAATAACACCAGACCGATTCCCAAGAAGACCTGCTTATGCTTGCCTCCATTGGCACATATTGGACAGCTTCTGTAGTGTTAGTAACAACAAGAAACACAACTCCCGTTTGTCATGCCTCTGGTTGTGTTTTCCAAATAGTCACAGGCTGACATACAGCAACAACAGGGCTTCCATGTGGCAGGTTTTCCCCTGCATTTTCTCTACCCCAGGTCCCCACAGCAGCCATCCCACTCCATCCAGGGCTTTTCCAATTGTTATGTTTATCAATGTGTCTATCTTGTTCCCTGACTTTCCAGTTTAAAAAGAAGTAGCCCCTTTCCTTGCAGAGATATAAAGGGAAAGACATATCTCCACAAGGAAAAAACAAAACAAAGCACAAAAGCTGGGAATTCAGAGAAACTGACAGATATCCTGGATCCATTCCAGTCCGGCTTCTGCCCCAGCCACAAGACTGAGATGGCGCTGGCCGCTCTCACAGATGACCTCTGGAGATGCCTGGACCAAGGCGGTTCGGCACTGCTCTTGCTTCTTGACTTTACAGCAGCATTCGACACAGTGGATCATAACCTACTGACCCGCTGCCTCGCCGACATGGAGATACGGGGGACAGAGGGTGGCACTCAGGGAGAGGATTTTACCACAACACTCGCTGGTGAGTGGTGTCCCTCAGAGGGTGGTCCTCTCCACGGTGTGGTTTAACATCTATATCTGCCCCCTTGCACAGCTAATCTGGGGGTTGGGGCTGGGTTGTCACCAGTATGCTGATCACCCAGCTGTATCAGCCAGACTCAGCCCCAGATATTTCGGACAGGGCACTGGAAGCTCTGACTGGTTGCTTGTAGCACAGCCGGCTGAAATTAAATCTATCCAAGACACAGGTCCTGTTTCTGAGTTGCGGGAGGGGGGGGGGGGGATCTGGGAATTTGACTCTCAGCCCTCGGTGGGGCACCCTTAGTGCCAGCGCTGGGGGGCAGGAGTGAGGAGTTTAGGAGTGATACTGGATGCCTTGTTAACTATAGAGGCACAGATCACCAATGTTGCCTGGTCACCCTTTTACCCCCTCCGGCTGGTTCGGCAACCAGTTCCCTACCTCTCCCCCTGGAACTTGGCTACTGTGATCCATGCAATGGTTACTTCCAGATTAAACTACTGTAACTCACTTTACATTGGGCTACCCTTGAATCTCACCTGGAAACTCCAGCTAGTGTAGAACCCAGTGGCACGCCTTCTGACTGCGACGTCTGCACGGGCGCGCATTTAGCCGGTGCAATGACAACTGCACTGGCTACCAAATGAGTACCAGATCTGGTCCAAGGTGTTGGTGCTAACCTTTAAAGCCCTATGCGGCCAGGGACCAACATATCTGCAGGACTGCCTCTTCCTATATGTGCCTCGTAGAGCTTTACACTCAGCAGAGCAATCTACTGGCAGCCCCCAGCCCAAAAGACATCTGCCTGGCCTCGACTAGGGCCACGGCCTTCTCTTCCCTGGCCCCAGCCTGATGAGACATGCTCCCAATTGAGATCAGGACCCTGTGGGACTTGTTATGGTTCTGCAGGGCCTGTAAAATTTTATTTATTTATTATCAAATGTATACCCCGCCCTCCCCGCAAAGCAGGCTCATGGAGGTGCTCCACCAGGAGGTGCTCCACCAGGCTTTTGGCTAACTGGCAGGTGACTGCTGTTTCTGGCCCCTCCTGCCCAAACTGCCCTCATACTTGTTCGATGGTGTAGAGGACAATGGTTTCCGTTATAGTAACCAGACTACTATTATGTTTCTGCCCACCTGCCCTTCAATGGAAGGACTACAATAGATTATTACTGGCTGCCATCGGTTTTAAAATTGGATTCTAAATTGTTTATGGTTTTATAATGTTGGTTTTATTGTTTATATTCCTCTTGTGACCTGCCCTGAGCCCACTTGCGGGGGAGGGTGGGATAGAAATAAATAAATAAAGCTATAATAATAATAATAATAATAATAATAATAATAATAATAATAATAATAATAATATTCAATTGCTGGTAAGGAAAAAACCCCTGTGGGGGACTGGGCTTGAAAAATGGTGCCAAGGCGGGTGGGCACTTTCCCATCTGGGCTTTTTCAGCCACAAAACCCGCTTACGGAATGCCCTTCTCCCCTTAAGGCTCACTTGGCATCTACATGGCCCGTTAATTTAACAACAGAACAAAACACTTCTGTTCACCCACACTTTTAGTCAAGGATGTGATTTTTAAAAAACATTAGAAACTCTTATTTTAAGCTGTCAGTGGTGTCTTTATGGTTAATGTTTGTATGCCGAACTGGATTTTTAAATATTGGGTTTTAATTACCTTTTAATGTTCTCTATTATTTTTATTTTGTAAGCCACCTTAGGCAGGTTCCTGGAGATGTGGCATAAACATTTTCTAAATAAATAAAATCCACATTGGTGCCACCCCACCTCTGCTGCCATCTTTCTCAAAATATCACAGCAAAGCAGGTTTGGGAAAGATCTCAGGAAGGATCGGGAAAATTCTGGAGGTGCAAGGAAATACCATGGTGCTGTGGGGAAGCTGGGGGGAGATACTTGCTTCCCAGTAACATTCAAGCCGAAGCTAGCTACTCATATGTAAGTGACCATAGATTCTTCAGGGTGGTTAAATTATGCATTTCATGGGCATGAGCTCCCAGTTGTGCCACTGTGATTCTGGAGTGCTCTGCTACCACTTACTCTTTTTAGAAAAGCAGCAATGCAACATTCACAAAGGGAATGGAAAACCTTTCAAAGTGAGCTTTGTTCACCTTGAATTAAACAACAAATGCTGCTCTCACCTTCTACAACAAAATCACCATTTCTATCATGTGGGACTGGCTATCAACGACAGATGTTATAATGGGCCAGAAGTGTATAGAGCTACACACAATTTTTAATTGTTGCTCAGCTCTTGAAAGAATAACACTTGTTCAAAATACTGCTTGTAGCTTTGAAAATGTCCCAGAAGAGCAGGCTACTGAGGAACTGCAGTCATACAACTGCCCTGTCACTGTGCCTCTGGCCTCTCAAAGATGCAGCTCCCTCTATTTCAGGGCAACCAGAGTCCCGGAAAGCAGCCCACAAAAATGGTTTACTAGCCCACCTGCCAACATGTAAGCAAGCAAACTACTTGTGACACACTGATAGCCTAGAACAGGGGTGTCAAACGTACAGCCCGGGGGCTGAAACCGGCCCATCCAGGGTTCTTATCTGGCCCGCAAGCAACTAGTACGAGAGAGGTAAGGCAAGAGGCTGCTGGAGGGGGGAGCAGGCATGCAGGTACACATGGTGAGGTGTGTGTGGTCGAAGCTGTCAAGAAATGAAACGAAATGGCTATGGGGCGGGCATGGTATCCCTTGGAAAAAACATAATCTTGCATATGATTAACTACATTTATTGGGAATTTTGTGGATTCCCCAATAAATCAATTGCTTTTACTGTCAGCTAGCTGCCATTTTAAGTTGCTTCTGTCCTTCCCCATTCCCGCTTGCTCGCAGCTCAGCGGCTTGCAGTAAACATTGTCTCGGAGACCGTGGGAGCTGGCTCGGCTAGGCGGCGGTCTGGCCTTGGGAGGAAGGGAGGGCTTGCGGTCCACCACTGGTGTGACTCTTTCTGCTCTCAGGAGCCCTGCGAATCTCCCGCTCATTATGTAACTTCCCGCCGGGAGAATTCCCATGCACACGCTTGAAGTTCATTTGCTTAGCTATTTGCCTTGTCCAGCTACATGCACGGATGTTCCCGCCCTATAGTTATTCCTAACAATAATCCTGTGGATATGGTATTGGTTTTGTACTCTAATAAAGCATGCTTTATAGGAAATGTGTGTAAAGAGTTACTTGCTGTGGAACCTGACATTCACTCCTACAAATAAATTGCTTTTGTTTGTATTTTGAGTAAAAAACATCATTAATTGGGTTTGCCTGTGTCATTTATAAAGATTATGTCTCCATTACATTTTGCAGCATGGTCCGGCCCGACAAAGTAACATTTATGTCAGATCCGTCCCTCATAAAAATGAGTTTGACATCTCTGGCCTAGAAGAAGGCAGCAAACCACTCTCTTCCAGTTTGAGAAAGTCTTTCTTTGCCTGCAGGTCATTCCTACTCACTTTAGGGCAATATGGCAGGTGGCTTTCATAATCATGGTCTAACAAGTTCTCCTTGGACATAAGAGCATCGTCTAACACAAGAGAACTCCTCTAATTGCAGAGAACTGGAATGGAGAGAACAGAACCTACCTGCTCTAAACTGCCAAGTTCCCCACCCTCTATTTTTTACAGAATTAGAGAAGCCAAAGAAACTTCTTCTCTGATATTGTCCTGTCACCCATCCAATTAAAGCAATGTGGTAATGAATCTCTGCATCAGACAGGGTATGAGGATCACACAGCGACAGGCAGAAACCAAAGTAGAAACTGTGCAAAAAAGATGCTAAAACCGTACCAACAGATATATATTACATCTTTATATATAAAATAAAGTCCCCTCACTGTAAAATCAACACCCAGGCCAAACCCCTGGACCTAGAAACACGAGATTCGGGGAGAGCGCTCCTACGATGGCGTAGATGCTAAGAAGGGATTTTTTTAGAAATCTGACCCAAAAGTGGGTCAAAAGGGGGATAATGTGCTCCCCCAATTGATTCCTATGTGGCTGCCAGGCTGCTGCCTCCTCGCACCCCGTACTCTCTGATTAGTCAACTGCAAAGCTCAGTGTTCTGAGGTAAAAAAACCAGTTACAGGGGACTACAGAGAGCTAATGACAGTTGAGGAAATCAGGAGTGGCCAACTGCTTGTGAGGTGAAGCAAAGCTGCTGGCCCAGCCTCCCTATGGCGTCAAACATTCTCCCCCCTCCTATACCTGACAGGCAGTTGTCTGTCAGATGCAGCAGCAGTTGTAGGGTGCTTAAAGCCATGAGGGAGCCCGCCCCAGCAGTAACGCCTTAATGACCCTGCCAACCCCACCTCCACAGTGGCTAATACTCCTCCCCCTCCTACACTGGGCAGGCAGCTGCCTGTCAGGTGTAGGAGAGGAGGTGGGATGCTTACAGCCACCGGGGAGGTTTGCTCAGCAAGACTGCCTTAGCCCTGTTGCTGGCCCAGCCTCCCTGATACCTTTAAACATAATCCTCCCAACACCAGACAGGCGGGTGTCTGTCAGGTGTAGGAGCAGGACCAGGGTATTTTAATCCATCAGGGACGCCGCCCCAGCAGGATCACCTTAGTGATGCTGCTGGCCCAGCCTCTCTGGGCCAGCAGCATACCTCAGAAGCTCATGAAAATCATGTTTATGAAAAACATGTAATAGATAATCGAAACAAAGTTATTAATATCTGGATCCTTCGAAATTATTCATACCTTTATGACTTCGTTCTTTGTACCTATATGACTTGCATGTAACTTATCACACCAATTTTTTTTGTACAAATCATAATTGAATTGTTTTGAACCTCTCTGATACTGTATATGTAATATATATCTGTTGGTACAGTTTTAGCGTCTTTTTTGCACAGCTTCTACTTTAGTTTCAGACAGGGTGTGGCCATACTACTGCTTGTCAAAAAAAAGAGCCAGGGAGGTCTCTGGGAAATTGGGAAGGTTATCACAAGACAGGCGTGGGAGAATCTGGCAAGGATGATACTGAAGAGCTGAGAATGAAGAGCCTAACAACTCATGACAAGTCTGCAGAATTCCAGGCAATACTGCCTTGATAACACTGCTGAGAAACCAAGATGAGCTGAAACTAGTTCCACAACATATCTCCTCACGATATCTACATTGCAGATTTTACATTCTGAAAGCTGGAATTCTGAGGCTCAGACTCAACTCCTGCTGCTGAAACCCTGCACCAGGTACTGAAAACCCAAAATGTAAAATATAGGGTATTTTTCTTGTTTTTGTTTTTAATTGCTGGTATGCATGGAATCAGACTTGATAGTTCAGTCTGCTTTTAATTAGCTAGAGCTCCAACACAAAAGAGCACTGGATACTTCTTCCTATCTCTGTCTTGTAGACTGCAGCTTGCCAACCCAGGGATGTGGAAAGGAGTGACAGCAAGCTTCTGTTTCGAAGGAAGATGAAAAGAAGCTCAGATAAAGGGAAAGGTACAGGTTCTCTTTTTCTTTGCTCCCACTTACCTGTTGGAACTGTCTTTGAAGAGGGTCTGCTGGCTACCAAGCAGTAAACTCCCACCGCTGCCACTACTGCCCTCATCAACATCATCACTTTGGTAATAACGGACAGTGCCAAGGCGCTGGCTTCGCCGGGACATGATCGAGGAAAGCCACCACCCTTGCTAAGACACCTGGAGAAAAAGCAAAGGAAGGGGAATGTAAGAACTGTGAATTCACCAGCTGTGACCAGGCAAAGACAGAGGACAGGTCTTAGAAATATCATTGTGTCATGCATAACGGGGAGGGGGGGGAGCTGTCCACAGAAACCCATACTGAGAGAGACTACCCCAGGGCCTCCTTCCTTTTTAGACTCTGTTCCCAGAGGTAACTAAGAAAACTTCACAGGGACTAGAATGCATTTCTGTTCTGTAGCCTGCCCAAAACACACATGCTAATTAGGGAATGGATTTATTTTAGTACAGTATAGCATACATATACATTAAGCATTCAAACTTGAGTGAAAGGGATTGGTATGCAATAACACTTGCTTAGGCTTTCATCTAGGCCAAACTGACAAATAAGTGGCTGGGCCTGCCACTCTAAGGGTGCGTTCAGACGGGGGCTTTCTGCCGGCATAAACTGCACCGGTTGGAACCGGTGCAGTTTATGCCGGCAGAAACGCGATCAGACTTACCTCCATTTTGCGGATCCCTCCGGTGTACGCCCGCTCACACGCCGCGGCGTCGGCGAGTTTTTTTTTAAAAAACACAGTTTGAGCATGCGCATAGGCAGCCATTCACAGAATGGCGATCTTTGTGCATGCTCAACCCCCCCATTACATTTAAACTTTAAAGGTAAAGACTTACCTTTAAAGTTTAAAGCCCAACCTGGCCTCCCTTAAGTCCCGGACTCCTCCGGGAAGTTAAACTAAGGGCTTTAAAAAAAAAAAAAAACGCTCAGGGCGAAGCTTCGCCCAAGCGCATATCACCTAGTTTAAAAAAAAATGGCGGGGAAAGCCGGAAGCCTCAGGCTTCCGATGGAAATGGCTGTGGAACGGTGGAGACCGATCAGACGCAGGGGTACATCGTTTACAACCGTTGCACTCAGTATACCACCACTTGGGACCTGGTGGCAGAGTGCAATGGTGTAAAGGGCTTTACACCGGTTAGGAACAGGAGGCAGATGTGCCCCGTCTGAACGCCGGTGAGTACAACGGTTGGAACCGGCACCCTAACCGATGTAAAGCCCCCGTCTGAACGCACCCTCAGTGTAACTTCACTCACCTAAAGGTAAAGGTTCCCTTGCTCGAGTCTGACTCTAGGGTTGCGGTGCTCATCTCCGTTTCAAAGCCGAAGAGCCAGCGCTGTCCAAAGACGTATCCATGGTCATGTGGCCGGCATGACTAAACACCAAGGCGCGCGGAATGCTGTTACCTTCCCACCGAAGTGGTACCTATTTATCTACTTGCAATTTCTTGCTTTCAAACTGCTAGGTTGGCAGGAGCTGGAACTAGAGACGGGAGCTCACTCCGTCATGCGGCACACTCGGGTCTCGAACTGCTGAACTACCGACCTTCCACAGCTTGCAGTTCAGCGTCTTAACCACTTGAGCCACCGCAGCTCACCTACCCCTACGTTAGTTTATCCTGCTTCTATCACAATTCCCTTTCAGTCTAAAGAAATCTACAATCCTACAAATCAGCCTACTGCCATCTCTTTCCATCACACAACTCTAATTTTACCAGCTCAATGCAGCTACAAATAAGTTACAACAACACTTCTGTCACAATTGTTAAAACATCAGACCCCATTTGCTTTAGCCCTATTCCCCTACTCCAGCAGGTGGCGTCCTTGTATGAAGGACTGTGCTGAAACTGTCCCCCATGTTCTCCTCCAATGTCCCTTTTATTTGGTGCCCCGCCAGGATCTTCTGTACCCTATATTAGCTCAATTCCCAGAGATTCCTGACGATTTTAAGGTTCTGTTTTTGCTTGATAATCAAGATACGGAAATAAACTGAAATAGCAGCAAGGTTTCTTCTTAGTGCTATGGCTATATGTTCTGATGTAACCACTAGGTTTATCTGCTTTTATGCTGTTTTTCTGCGCCATAGCTCCAAATTTGTATTTTCTGATCTATATTTAATCTGATCTCCTATTGTAGATATATACACATGCCAATAAATGTTTGTCATCCCTATTCCATTCTCCAGCTCAGACCCCATTTGCTTCATCCCTATTCCATTCTCCAGCTCAAAGACGCTCCCTGGGAAATCATGGGGGTAAACAAACAGGTTATCCATCATCCCAAAAGAGAAGCTGCCTTAGCCTAAGATGTTTAGTCTGTAAAGCATGGTAAGATGTGTGTCACAAGCCTGTTTAAAACCTGCCTCAACCAATCCAAACATGCCTGAAATACAAGCTTGAATTAGTTTCAAACCAGTGTAGCTATAGGAACTATAAAACCCTGGGAGTTAAAGAGTTTTGTGGAGAAACTGCTTTAGCACACTTACAAAATTGTAGGTTTCCAAAGTTCCTTGGGCAAAGTCAGAACACTGAAACCAGTTTAGACAGGACAGCACAGAGGTAAGTGAGCTACCTAGTTCTTCCTTTCAGAATATCTTCCTTCTTCAAGTCCTAAGCTTGGAGGAGGGATGCAAGCAGGGTGAAAGGGAGGGCTGGGATTCCCCAGGGAGATGTTGGTGTGCAGTTTGTCACCTGACTAGCAGGGAAGGAAGTGGTAAGTTGAAGGATTTCTTTTGGGAGAGGCTGTAGGCAGCTTAGCAATTGTTAAAGGATCTCATGCAGCAGGTGCTGGGAGATGCCTTTCTCAGTCTGAAACTCAGTCAGTTTTCTGCTGGGAAGAGCAGACAACAGAGGACAAGCAGTCTGGTGCAGTGTGAGATGACTTCATACACTTGTATGATTCTGCTTGAAAAAGTGTGTGTGTGGGGGGGAGGCATGTTTCCTTGTCCAGCAGGGGACACAGCAGTGGGTGCAGCTGTCACGACAACCATCCCTCCCTCCACAGCATCAGTGCCTCCAACTGGGTAGCATTAGCACGTGAGTTTCTAACGGGGCCAGCAGACAGGGCGAACCACATACTTCTTTCAGAGCATCAGGAGCCAAATGCGTCTGAACTTGGCAGACAACGGCCAGAGAGCTCTTAGCCAGGACAAGAACTCAAGTCCCAGCCAAGAGTAAGACCAGGCCCGTTCGGAGTTTGGCAGGACTCCTGTGAGTTTGCCCACCCTTCCGCAACCTACACCAGCCACCCCACAGAGAGGCTTGCCAAGATGCAAAACAGCATGAGCAGCAGAAACGCGGCCTGACCTCCACTTTTAACTTCCACCCCTCATATGGCGTTGGCTGGGCTCCTTTCCAGTCACAGCAAGAAAGCCCATTCACATGGGCAATAAAGCCCCTCTTTCTAACCCACGCCTTGGTGGAAAGAGGCCCTCCCACACTGCAGGGAGCAGGGCAGAGGGTAGCCAAAGTCACAAGGTTGTAACGACCCATGGCTTACAGACGACGTGCACGCTGTGGTAACAAAACAGCGAAGTTTCAGCAGTACCACAGTACTGTACTCTCCCCCCCCCCCAAAAAAAGGGGGGGGGGGGGAGTCACCATTTTCTTTCCCTGCCTGGTCACATGGCAAAACTGCCCAAGATCCTTTCCCCTCAATCCCTGCCAAATCCCATCCTGTCACAAAACAACAATAAAAAACACGTTGTTGGAACTTCCCCCTACTTTACGATTGCTGTGCTGCAAACAAATAGGTCCCCCCCCCCCAGGTGCGCTTATCTTTTGGAACAGACCAAGCAAAAATATTAGTTAAGCAGCGAATTGAGGATATAGAACGCCAAACTGATCTTCCCAGCATACAAAACATTAAGATGAGGGCAATTATCAAAAACACTGTGGGTCCAGCCAACTATTTAACATCTCTTGAAGTAAAAGGGTTTAGAAGAGCCTTTACTCTGGCGAGGTACTCCGCCCTCCCTTCTGCTGTACTTGAAGGAAAATACAAGAATACTCCTTTCTCAGAAAGGCTGTGCACCTGCCCATTAAGGGAGGTTGAGACTACAGAGCACATGTTTTTTAGATGTCCGTATTATAAGGTGGTGCGTAATAAAATCACTCCGCTGACTGAACAAATTCTGGGCCTTTCCGAAAAAGCTAGACTCGAGTTTCTTCTATCTGATAGAAACCCCAAAATTACCCACCAAGTAGCCAGTTTCTGTATGGTGATACTCAGATCATGGAAACTCTAAGGTAGCTAGTTAGATATAGCTGTTTGATATTAGATTAAATTTTAATTTGCTTTTAATGTGTCACTGATGTATCTTAAAATCTTGGAATATTGCAAAGGTGTACTTCTTTTTGTATGACTGGTCTAAGGACTGTAGAAATAAAGTGATTGATTGTGCCGCAAACACAGCTTTTTAGGTGTCACACCCGCCTCTCCTGTCAATTTACAAAGAGACTCCTCTTCCCCCAAACAGGCAGGAAACAACGAGAGAAAAATTAACACCAAATTCCCAGGGGGCAGAAGAAAGTACAAAGGAATCTGTTCAGCGCTGTTAGGAAACCGCATCCATCCCTGGGGTAACTCGATTGAAATCAAGCCCGGTTTGGCGTCTTTTCAGAGGTGAACAAGGGAAAGTAGGCGCTCTCTCCTACGAAGAAGGCTTGTGTCAAGCCACTTCCTGTGTGCATGTTCTAGGCACCACCACCTTAACTGTTTTCTTTTTCGCACATGCTAATCCCCCACCCCACCCCCAGGGGTGCGGAGCGAAGGAAAACTCCGCAAAAGAGGGAGCTCGGGTACCGGCGGAGTTGTCAGATTTTTTTTGGTTTTTTGGAAGAGCAAAACGCAATGCTCAATCCTGGCGACTTCCTGCAACACCAAGGCTCGCTCAGCTTTGCGGCGTGCGAAGAAACTGGTTCCCAGCAAGCCCAAAGCCCATTTCTCTCACCCCTGAGCCACCATGGTGGTCCCCCTCCCGCGCCCCACATCGAGCCTCAAGGCCGGGAGAGGAAGCCCATTTTTAAAACTCACCAGTAGTAACAAACAGTACGGTATCTATTACCCATTGCGTCCATCCCCCCGCCCATTTTGCAAATACTACACCCATCTGGCGTAGTGGTTGGAGCAGGATTGGAGGAGGCCCCGCCGTTTTGAAGCCGCTGTGCCATGGAAACTTGCTGGGTGACCTTGGGCCCGCCACCCACTCTCAGCCTAACGTCCTAACCTACCTCACAGGGTTGTGGTGAGAATAAAATGGAAGAGAGCAGAACCAGGCAAGCCGCTTTGGGGAGAAAGGCAGGGCATAAACACATAAATATCAACCGTGCCTCGATAACCGACTGCAGCGTTTGAGAAAATTATAAATAATGAGCGGGAGCCTTAAAGCTAGGGAGCGGAGACAAAAGACATCGCAAGTTAAATAAAGATAATGTCCTTTGGAGGTTGCAGCAGATCATTAGTGAGTAAGCCTCTTACAGGATGACGTTTCTAGCTGGTGCTTCTTAGCACCCTCGGGCCGCAGTCCTCTGCAGGCTTCCTGGGGAGCAAGTCCCGTGTACTGACTCCAGAATAAGCACGCCAAGGCTGGAGGCTGCGCCCGGTCTCCTTGGCCCTCCCCCTCCCACCCTTTCCCAGCGTCTCCCGCCAAGGAATCCCTCCCTGGCAATCGGCGGCTACATTGACTTCTCCATAACAACAAAAGCAGCACGCGACTCACCCTTCTTGACGGGGAGGAGAGAAAAAGGAAGGAAGAGAAAAGCAATTCAGACTAGCTCTCTCCCCCCCCCCCTCCGTGCGTCTTCATTTAAAAGGGGAAGGAAATGAATGCAAGGGGAGGGGAGGGGCGGAGAAGGGGAAGAAAGCTTTACCTGGGATGCTCGGGGCGGGGGACAGGCGAGTAACTCGGAGACTAAGGAGCGAGCCGAGAAGAGAAACGACCTTTCTTCTTTTGCTGTCTCCTTTCAGCGGCTGCAATGCATTTATTTCCAACCGAACGTCCTGTTAAATGCCAGCCACAATCAAGGAGAAATTGATCCAAAGTGCCCCTCCAGAATGCAAGGTCAGCAGAGTGGCGAGTCGTAGCGACCCCTTCACTTGAGGAAGCGAATCCGCAGCCGAGGAGGGTGGGGGCACAAGAAGCCGCCGGTTCCGAAGCCGCCCGCTTGAAAATCCTTTACACACACAGTCCCCCAAACAAACCCAAACCGCACGGTAACAATATGGCCTTGGGTTTTGTGCGTGCGTCTGTCAAATCCCTGTACAGACAGCCCATTGGCAGGGGCCGCACCTGACCCCGGCTGTCAATCTCTCGCAATGGCCTGCGTCCATTGGCTGGTTTGAACAAAAAGCCTCGCTCATTCCTTCCCTCCGCGCCCCTCCCACTCCGCCAGCTCCTTTTCTGGCTTCAGCTGTTTGGCGTTGCGTAAAGGACTCGGCTGCGCTTGCTGCAGGGCTAGGCTCCACCCCCCCCACCCCACCCCCGTGCTTTAATAACAACTTTCCGGCGGGAGCGAGCGGGGAAGCACTTTTCTTTTTACGGCACGCCCCCGCGGCTGAAAGATATGTGCTCGTTTCTGGTTTTTTACAGTAACGCCCCAGGTTTGCAATGGGGTGGTGGTGATGGGGAGTCCCCAGCTCCTGCCAACCTAGCAGTTCGAAAGCAAGAAAATTGCAAATAGATAAATAGGTGCCGCTTCGGTGGGGAGGTAACAGCGCTCTGTGCGCCTCGGCTTTAGTCATGCCGGCCACATGACCACGGAAACGTCTTTGGACAGCGCTGGCTCTTCGGCTTGGAAACGGAGATGAGGACCCGCCCCCTAGAGTCGGATTCGACTGGCTTTGGAGCAAGGGAAACCTTTACCTTTTCCGGTTTCTGAATTACTGCCAGAAAATAAAAGAGGGGAGCTGGCCGCATTCATTATCGCAGAGCCAATGCCCATTGCTGCGTATTACGTCGTACGTTGGCAACTCAAAACGAGTTTCTGTAAACTTTTGGTTCTGACTGCGCACTTCTCACGGAGAGAGGAGGACAAGCCAAATCTTTCCTTCTGAGTTTCCGGGAGGGTGAAGATAGCTTGACAAAACCGCTGTTCATACTCCTTGCCCGCTGGTTTCCTGGCAGCGATTCTTGTGCCCTGGCCTGG